AATAGGAGAAAGCCTCAGGATAGAAAGAGTGGAGCCCCTAGCAGATTCACAAAAGATAAAATTGAGAAAGTTAACAATAAAGGGTCAAGTGAGAAGCCACGTTTGGTTAGATGTCATGAGTGTCAAGGAATAGGTCACTATAGGAATGAGTGTCCTAGCTATAAGAAAAATCAAAGAAAATGGAAAGATAGGGCCTTAGTTATCTCACTTACTGATAATGAATCTGAGATCAGTGATAGGCAGGAATCCTCTAGTAGTGATGATGAAGGAAATTATATGGCATTTGTGGCTACTGTTAAGAGTGAATCTGATAAGGAAAGTGACAAGGTTGAGGAAGAACATTCAAACGATAATTCTGGTAATGAGGATGAGGATGAGGATGACATAGACTTACAAGAAGCTTATCAACTGTTGTTTAAGGAAAGTCTTAAAATAAAGAAGGTCAATAAAGCCCTACTTAAAAAGGTTGACGAACTTGAAAGGGAAAAAGAGAAACTGGGTAGTAAGCTTCAGGATTCACTTAAGAGTGGTAGTGAGTTAAAGTGTGTCAATGAGAAATTGGAAGACAAGGTTAAGAGTTTGACTAGTGAATTGGAGAAATCTAATGCTCATCTTCAGACATTCATAAGTGGAACTAATAAATTGGATAACCTGTTGGGAATGAATAAGCCAGTGGGAGATAAGAGAGGTCTAGGATATGTTGAGGGTAATACACATGTTGCTGGACCATCTAAGACTGTCTTTGTGTCTGCCTCTAAGTCTAATGCTGTTAGGAGTCCAAGTAAAGGTAAGAGTGTTCCTAGGGAACAGAGTCATCAATCACGTAGGAACATCAGGACTAGGTACCCACAGACACATACCTTTGAGCCTAGGTTCATTCCCACCTGTCACCACTGTGGAGTTTTAGGACACACTAGGCCTAGATGTTAAAAGTTAGGCAATGAGCGTAGAAATCAAAACATTCCTAGTCAGGTTAGCTTTCTGTCTAATCAGGTTAGTCATTTGACTAAGATGTTTACTAAGCTAACTAAGAGTACTTTGTCATCTAAAAAGGTTTGGGTCAAAAAGGGTGATCTAGGTAGACTTTCAGGTCAAGAAAACTGTTTTGTTGCTCATGTTGCTTTAAAAGCTCAAAATTCTAATATGTGGTACCTGGATAGTGCATGTTCTAGGCATATGTGTGGTAATAAAGCTCTATTCACTACTTTTGATGAATGTAATGGTGGTATGGTTACCTTTGGAGATGGGGGCTCTGCACCTATTCTTGGCAAAGGTACTGTACAAATGCATGGTTTACCTGTGATCTCTAATGTGCTTTATGTGGAAGGTTTAAAGTCAAATTTGTTAAGCATTAGTCAAATTTGTGATGACGACTTTGAGGTTAGTTTTGTGCAGAAGAGATGTACCGTGTATGATTTATCCGGTGGGGTAGTCCTTGAAGGGGTTAGAACATCTGACAATTGTTATGGGGTATTACCTAATTCTAACTATGTGTGTAGGAGTGCTAAAATTGATGTGAGTGAGCTCTGGCACAAAAGATTAGGTCATTTGAACTATAAGAGTCTAGAGCAGTTGGCTAAGAAAGAATTGATAGATGGGTTGCGTAAGATAGTTCTTAGTGAAAATGTTGTGTGTGGACCATGTCAACTAGGTAAACAACTTAAGGGGAGCCATAAGAAGACTACTAAAATTCTGACCAAAAGACCACTGGAATTGATTCACATGGATTTAATGGGACCCTCTAGGACCGAGAGTTTAGGTGGTAAGCGATACATTCTTGTCGTGGTAGACGACTTCTCGAGGTTTACTTGGATAGAATTGCTTAGGAAAAAATCTGATGCTTGTGACCTCATAAAGTCTCTGTGTAAACGGCTTAGCAATGAACTGAATCTCAAAGTGTCTAGGATGCGTAGTGACCATGGAAAAGAGTTTGAGAACTTTAATCTTGAGAGTTTCTGTATGGACGAAGGGATATTGCATGAGTTCTCTTCCCCTATCACTCCACAACAAAATGGGGTAGTTGAAAGGAAGAATCGTGTCCTTCAAGATATGGCTAGAGCCATGCTTAATGGCAAGGAATTAGCCCTACACTTTTGGGGAGAAGCTATTAACACTACATGCCACATCATCAATAGAGTCTACCTTAGACCCAAGACTGATCAGACCCCATATGAAATTCTTAAGGGTAAAAAGCCTACTGTTAAGTATTTTCGAGTATTTGGGAGTAAGTGCTACATTTTGCGGGATAGAGAGAACTTGAGTAAGTTTGAATCAAAGAGTGATGAAGGGATCTTCCTAGGGTACTCTAGGAGTAGCCGAGCATTTAGAGTGTATAACTTACGTATCCGTGTGGTGATGGAGTCTATAAATGTTGTGATAGATAATGCTGTGAGTGAGGGGAAGAGTGCTGAAAATGTAATAAAGATGGTGATCTTTTGAGTTCAAGTGATCTTACTGAGCTACCTGTGCCTGAATCATCTCGTAAGAAACCTGAAACATCTGAAAAGGAAACACTTCCACAAAATCTAGATAAAAATCCTAAGGAACCATCGACTAGGGTTAAGTCTAGTCATCCTAAGGATAATATTATTGGGGATCTAGATGAAGGGATGAGACTTCGTAGGAGAGTACTGAACAATCTAGCGTACACTAGCTATGTTTCTCAGGTAGAGCCTAAGAAAGTTGAAGAGGCCCTTAGTGATGAGTGTTGGGTGAATGCGATGCATGAGGAGCTAAATCAATTTGCTAGGAATAATGTGTGGATCTTAGTTCCCAGACCTGAAAATTGTAATGTTATTGGTACCAAGTGGATCTTTAAGAATAAGACAGATGACCAAGGTACTATAACTAGGAATAAGGCGAGATTAGTTGCTCAGGGGTATATGGTTTGAAGCAAGCTCCTAGAGCTTGGTATGAGAGACTCACATCTTATCTTGAGGAACATGGGTTCTCTCGAGGTGGTGCAGATAGGACCTTATTCATTAGACATATAGAAGAAAATTTTACCATTGCTCAGATTTATGTCGATGATATCATTTTTGGGTCTCCTCTTGAGTCTTTAGCGTTTGAGTTTGTTGAGTGTCTGCAGAGAGAGTTCGAGATGAGTATGGTTGGGGAGTTAAGTTATTTCCTTGGACTTCAAGTACGACAGACAGAGGATGGACTGTTTATCTCACAGTCTAAGTATGCTAAGGATCTCGTTAAGCGATTTGGGTTAGATAGTAAGAAGCATACTAGGACATCGATGAGTACTAGCTTAAAGTTAGGTCGTGATCCTTCTGGTAAGAGTGTAGATCCTTCCCTATATCGTAGCATGATAGGTAGTCTTCTCTATCTCACAGCTACTAGGCCTGACATTGCCTTTAGTGTAGGAGTGTGTGCTCGCTTTCAGGCAGATCCAAAAGAGTCACACCTAAGCTCTGTTAGACGCATAATCAGGTATATCAGTGGTACAGTGGATCTAGGGATATTCTATTCTAGGAATTCCAATCTTGATTTGGCTGGATACTCTGACGCCGATTGGGCCGAAAATGCAGATATTAGGAAAAGTACGACTGGGGGTTGTTTTTACATGGATAGCAATCTCATAGCCTGGCTAAGTAAGAAACAAAATTCAATATCTTTATCCACGGCAGAGGCCGAATACATAGCTGCAGGGAGTTGCTGTACTCAGCTTCTCTGGATGAAACAAATGCTTAGTGATTATGGGATTAGTCAAGAGACAATGACTGTTTTCTGTGATAATACGAGTGCGATAAATATTTCTAAGAATCCCATTCACCACTCTCGAACAAAACATATTGACATACGACATCATTTCATTCGAGAGCTTGTTGAATCACATGTTGTCTCTCTTGACCATGTCTCTACTGATAATCAATTGGCTGATCGACTTACGAAACCACTAGATGGGTTGAGGTTTGAGTCGCTTCGGACGGCTGTTGGTGTTAGCTTACCTATTTGATCATGGGTTCTTGCATATTCATGCTTGCATCACATTTGCACCTAGTCACTTCGTACTTTGCATGTGACCTATGTATGTGTGATGCATTTTTGTTTGTTTGTTTCAACTTCATTTGCTGTTTTTGTTTGTGTGTTTAAATGTATGAAAAAAAAAGGGGATTTTTCATGTGTGTGCCTTTTATATCTCGATTCTGGCATTTGCATTTAGAATCTAACTCTATTATTCATCATATGTACGAGTCTGAGGTTCCATCATTGTTCACGTTGTCTGTGGAGTTTTGGGTATATGGCTTGTCATTCATCTTTGCACAGCACACACTGTAGTCCTGTATGTGAGTCTTGACCGCTTGGGTGAGACTTGGGATGGTGATCTTCTATGCTTAGGATTGTGTGTCCATTTGACTTGATCTGGGACGAGTGTCACCTAATCATATTGTCTTTCCCCACGTTTATTGTATTTTGTCGAACGTTTGACTATCTTCGAGGCCTATTTGACTCGAACTATTAAGCCGAGGGGTTTTTAACTTGGTGCCCTAAGGTCGTCTGACTTGGGAGTCACCGGCCCAACGTTCGTTACGGGGGTCATCTATGTCGCCTAATGAGGATAGCATTGCACTTAAGTTTGTTTGTTAAAAAAAAAAAAACATGAGATCATTCAGTTAGGGGGAGTAAAAGTGTAACAATCGTATTATTTGATTTGGGTCCTCGTGGTATTGAATTTGATTGTCACTTGGTCGACATACACCTTTGTTTGGTTGTTTTCACGTGTCCTTTCTCACTAATTTAAGGTTTTGAGTCTCGCTTGCATGGACTACGTGGCACTCTTCCCGGTGTTGGTCTGTATACACTTTACTCCATGGTAATTTGATCTCTGTGTGGACTTACGTTTTGTATATATGCTGATTATTGGGTTTGTGACTTTATGCTTATTGTTGTGGCTTTACGCATATTCTTCGTTGGGTTTCGAGTTGTGATGACTTTGCTCTTAGGGTCGACGCGTTTTTTCAATGTATCACTTTTGTGCCTCATTTGTGTGCACGGTGTGTCATGACACGTTACATCGTTTCATGTGCATTTTTCATGTGACTCATTTCTTGCCTCTTTACGTGTGCCAGATGGACCGTAAGCGATCACGTCCTCTTCCCAGCCGGCTAGTGGTTCGACCTCTTACAGTCGATCGAGGTTCATTTCTGCTACAGCCCAGGATGTCTTCACTTCCCAGTTCTCCTTACGCCCCGTTCTCGTGGAGCGTGAGGTAATTTTGTCTGACCTTCCTGTAGATATAGCTGCCATCTTAGTGTCTCGGGGTTGGGAGCCTTTGCTTGTTGGTCTATCACCTCCACCCCCTCTCCTAGTTCAGGAATTCTATGCGAATATCCACGATATTGACGGGTCGTCCTTTAGGGTATTTTTGCGGGGTCATTCTTTTAGGGTTATACCTTCTGCCGTAGCTCAGGCCTTAGGTATACCAAAGATTACCCATCCTATGTACCCCTATATTTTACCCTCTGCTGTTCCGGCCGACTCCCTTGTTCGGTCGACGATTTTGAACACCCCGTCTGTCGGGGGGCCTACGGCGATGGCCACGGGTTCTCTTCCCACTGATCGCCAGGTTTTGTTGCGTATTGTGTGCACAAACCTATGGCTCGTAGCCCATACTTCTTCCTTACCCATGGGGCGGACCCGCTTTCTCTATGCCCTCCTTCGCGGGGACTCGATTGACCTACCCAGCTTTGTTTGCCAGCAGATTCTGGTTTCGTTTCGTACTCCGGGGGGTCGGATCGGGTTACCTTATGCCTGCTTGATTCATAGGGTTGCATTATTTTTGGGTGCTTCACTCCCGGAGGGTTCGACTCGTCGCATAGGACGTCCGATTGGACAGCAGACTATTCATCAGAGTCGTTCCCATATTCCGTCTTCCTCTTCTTCTGCTCAGGCTACAGTGGCGGCTGCAGCTGTTGATGCTT